CCCCCACTGCCAATCCTCAACAGAAATGCTCACAACAATGAAAACCTCAGACAGGAGGAAGAGCACGGCTGGGCGGGCAGGCAGGTGTCTTGCTCGGCTGTGGCTTGGGGGGCACTTTTTTCAATGCCATTGTAACTTTGAACAGTCACTAAGCGAACTGTTGAAAGTCGAGGACTACCTGTTACTTTATCACTTTTTTCCTTTTTTGGGGGGGTCATCAAGTTTTTGACAACTTGCTAGGCGACTGGTGCTCCTCAGATGCTGCCATATCCTAAAAGTGGTACAATGGGTGAAAAGGTTGAAAAGCCCTGCTCTATAACACCAAGAGGCTAAACTAGGACCACTGTTAGCTTAATGTCAACACCGGGGAAAAAATGTTTCTTAGCAGATTTTACACTAAAAGCACACGTACGTATAAGCACACTCGCAAACGTGGTGGGAACAATGGAGTCACAGTAGTGCTTCCTTGTTGTCCAGGAAACACTTTTGTATTGCGCACAAGGGGATATTAATATGCATTGGAATTTGTATTTCATCTACTCAGCAAAAGGGCGTTTCAGAACAAGGATCTCGTGATCTGAATTGTGTAAAGGGAAGGTTTTAAATTTTTTCTTCTTTGTAAGATCCAAAACTTGGTTTTCAGGACAGCGATGCAAGTCATGTGCGAAAGATGTGACAAGTTGCAAAGTTTTCATCATTGGCGAAGTCCGTGTCTTTTGACCAAATAAGGAAAGATTATGTCTTCTCCTATCGTTGTCTGTTCTTCTATTGTTTATTTAAAAATCCATTGACAAACATTCTTTGGCAATTTTTCCTATTGCTTTGTTTGTGTAAATCTTTTTGCAGGATCCAATTTGGATCAGTCACCAGGTCTTCTGAGCTTTCGGATTCGGGCTGTGTGTTATTCATGCTTTGGGTATTCGGGGTGTGATATTTATATGGCGCCTGGTTGTATGTGGCTTTTTTAGCCACACCCAACCAGGCAACATATAATAAATACCACACACAAAATAGCCCAAAGTACACACTCTGCTAGAGAGATTCCCTGAGGATGAAGCATGAGTCAGAAGATAAAACCCTGGTCCCAGTGACCAACCCAGATTGGATCCTGCAACATTACCCTGGGACACGTATATATTGGCCTTCATTCGTATCAATGTTTATTTATTTCCAAGATTAAAATACAGACAAAAAGAAAAGAGAGCAACAAAGATGATTAGGGGACTGGAGGCTAAAACATATAAGGAACGGTTGCTGGAATTGGGTATGTCTAGTTTAACGAAGAGAAGGACGAGGGGGGACATGATAGCAGTGTTCCAGTATCTCAGGGGCTGCCCCAAAGAAGAGGGAGTCAAGCTATTCTTCAAAGCGCCTGAAGGCAGGACAAGAAGCAACGGATGGAAACTAATCAAGGAGAGAAGCAACCTAGAACTAAGGAGAAACTTCCTGACAGTTAGAACAATTAATCAGTGGAGCAACTTGGCTTCAGAAGTTGTGAATGCTCCATCACTGGAAGTTTTTAAGAAGAGACTGGACAGCCATTTGTCCGAAATGATATAGGGTTTCCTGCCTGAGCAGGGGGTTGGACTAGATGACCTCCAAGGTCCCTTCCAACTTCTTCTTCTTCTTCTTCTTCTTCTTCTTCTTCCTCCTCCTCTTCTTCTTCTTCTTCTTCTTCTTCTTATTATTATTATTATTATTATTATTATTATTATTATTATTATTATTATTATTATTATTATTATTATTATTAAAATAATATCAAGCATATACAGAAAATGTCCCTTCTGGTTGAACACTGATAAATATATTTCATCAACGGGAATTATTCCCTTTTCCTTTCAAAACAGGACCCCTGTCTATAAACACCTACCTCTATATTTGCAAAATTGCTATCTGACATTAAAAATATCACAGTTCTAGAAATCTATTATCAGTCAACCGATTTGATCTACTATCTATCTACTATATTAAAAAAAACGGTTAACAAGAAGTCCTAACTACCAAAATTGGCAATTTTTCGTAAATTAATCTTAAAAATTGCTTAGACTGCATTGTGTGTACCAGTCCCAGCAGAGATATTTTTCACATCAACAACCAACTGGACTTTTTCCAGTGAGGGGATCTATATTATGCAGTAAATAGTTGCTAGAAATCGAAGCAAAATCTTTCCTTTATTACAGTTTATGAGAAGGCTCAGAACTCACATATTTTTCCAGGCCTTTTAGTGTTACTGCCTGCAGTTTTTGTGCTTTATAAGTGTTGGGTCTATTGCTACTTTTATAGTTTTTTTATTGTGTCTTGTAATCTAGCCAGAATCACTTAAGGGAGTGTGCAGTGGCCAACTTTCCTAAAGGAAAGGTTTTGTTAGGGGTTTCATATTTTAGAGCAGGCTTTTATGTAATATTTACTGTGATTTTTATTCTTGCCTGTTCACCGACCTGAGTCCCGTAAGGGAGATAGGGCGGTATATAAATTTAAATAATAAAAAAAATAATAATAATAGGAGGAACACTAGTGAGCTGCATGTATTTTGGAATGGGAACCATTAGGGAATTAAACTGGAAATTAGGGCAGGAACCATCCTTGATTATACAGGTAGTCCTCGACTTAACAACAGTTCATTTAGTGACCGTTCAAAGAGACCTGCACTGAAAAAAGTGACTTATGACCGTTTTTCACACTTACAACCGTTGCAGCATCCCCTTGGTCATGTGATCAAAATCCGGATCTTTGGCAGCTGCTTCATACTTACGACAGGTGCAGTGTCCCGAAGTCACGTGATCTGCTTTTGCAACCTCCTGACAAGCAAAGTCCATGGAGAAGCCAGATTAATTTAACAACCATGGTACTACAACTGCGATGAGTCACTCCACAATTGTGGCAAGGACAACAAATGGGGCAAAACTCACTTAGCAAAACTCACTTAAAAACTTCCAGTGTTGGAGCATTCACCACTTCTGGAGGCAGGTTGTTCCACTGGTTAATTGTTCTAACTGTCAGGAGTTTCTCATTAGTTCTAGGTTGCTTCTCTCCTGGAAACTAATCAAGGAGAGAAGCAACCTAGAACTAAGGAGAAACTTCCTGACAGTTAGAACAATTAACCAGTGGAACTCCTCACCTCCAGAGGTGGTTAATGCTCCAACACTGGAAGTTTTTAAGAAGCGACTGGACGGCCATTTGTCTGAAATGATATAGGGTTTCCTGCCTGAGCAGGGGGTTGGACTCGATGACCTCCAAGGTCCCTTCCAACTTCTTTATTATTATTATTATTATTATTATTATTATTATTATTATTATTATTATTATTATTATTATTATTATTATTATTATTATTATTATTACAGCAAATGTCTCACTTAGCAACATAAATTTTGGGATCGATTTGTGGTTGTAAGCTTCCAGGAACAGGATAAATGGCAAGAAGAGAATGGCAAAGATTTTATTCCAAAACCAAGGAAAGGACTGGAAAGGAGTAATTCCCTTTTAAAGAAGGGATAAATAAGCTTCTTTTAAAAGGAAAGAGTGCATATATGCAAGAGCTGCAGCTAAGCCAGAATGCAAAAGACACTTCCGTGAAAGGGAACGTAAACTGAATTAGCTGGTTGGGGAGTTATAGGAGTTGTAGTTAAAAGGGTTGAAGATAGAAACTGGAGATAGACTTCATACTACCAATCCATGCTCACACTAATATTTTGTTCCTCTTGTGCAGGGGTAGGCAACCTTGGCTCTTTCATGTCTCGTGGACTTCAACTCCCAGAATTCCTGAGCCAGCATGGCTCAGCTTGGAAACCTCTCCCTTTCCCCTCAGCGTGGCTGGCTGAGGAATTCTGGGAGTTGAAGTCCACAAGTCATAAAAGAGCCAAGGTTGCCTACCCCTGCTCTTGTGCATAACTTTAAGGGGAGTGGGAGAAGTCAACCTCACTGTAAAGGTAGTCCTTAGATTATGCTGATTCATTCAGCCCCGTCCTTTGCACACCATGCATGAGGGGGGACATGATAGCAGCGTTCCAGTATCTCAGGGGCTGCCACAAAGAAGAGGGAGTCAAGCTATTCTCCAAGGCGCCTGAAGGCAGGACAAGAAGCAACGGATTGAAACTAATCAAGGAGAGAAGAAACCTAGAACTAAGGAGAAACTTTCTGACAGCTAGAACAATTAACCAGTAGAACAACCTGCCTCCAGAAGCAGTGAATGCTCCAACACTGGAAGTTTTTAAGAAGAGACTGGACGGCCATTTTTCTGAAATGATATAGTTTCCTGCTTGAGCAGGGGGTTGGACCAGATGACCTCCAAGGTCCCTTCCAACTTTATTATTATTATTATTATTATTATTATTATTATTATTATTATTATTATTATTATTATTATTATTATTATTATTATTATTATTACTACTACTACTATTATTATTATTATTATTACTATTATTATTACTATTATTATTATTATTGTGACTGCAATGGGGAGCGATGGGATTGCATGAGTGCCTTGCTTAACCACTGCAACAACTTAATGATCATAATTCTGGGTTCGGTCGCAGTCATAAATCAAGGACTTCCTGTATTTTTCAAATTCATGTTCTACCTTTGATTAGGTTCTCTCCCAAAGGTGCTTTTTCATGAGGCACCTGGACTTCCTTGTTTTTCCTTTGAAGACGTTTTGCTTCTCATCCAAGAAGCTTCTTCAGCTCTGACTGGATGGTGGGGGAAATGGAAGGATTTATACTCCTTGCAGACAGCTGCCTTCTTCTAGAGAGTCGTTGAGGCCACCTGGAGGTTTACCTGTGTCCTCAGGGTCCCCTGAGTAGTGCAAATGTGTGTGGAGCCTTCTTGGCTGCAGGATGATTTCTGCCCTGTGTCCCATTGGATTGCCTATTTGTAAGCAACAGTCTTGTCGGGATACTAAATTCAGAATTAAGGTTGCTTTTTCATTCCAATGTGAGAAGCTGTAAGCTTTGTCTGACTAGACTATATTTCTCTTTTTGACAGCACATATATTCCTGTTCCCCGGAAGATCAAGGTCAACAAAGACAAGGTGAGTTGTGGCTACACTCATTCCAGAAGGTTCTTTCTCTGTAAGGAA